ATCCATTAACTGAGTCAATACAATTGAACGTGCAGATATCTAAAATGTGTAATTGTATGATTATAAACCAATAAAATTAGTTTATACTATACATATCGTTGGACATTGAAGTTATTTAACTAATCCAAATATATAGTGACATTAATAAAATAAATTTACCATGGCCTCGACATTAATAAAATAAATTTACCATGGCCTCACCTTAAAAATTAAATAAAATAATTTTACATGTAATTGTTTTATTTTTGATATAGCTTTAAAAAATAAAAATTAAAAGATTTTGATGAGCGTCTTGGGGTGATATATAGTGATAATTTTCTCGATCACATAAAAATTAAAATATATACTGTATATGATTATAACAAACTATATAGCATTATTAATTTGAAATAATAAGTTAACGTGTATATATATGCGTATCAGCTTTTAGAGTTTAGCAAATTCGAACTGATACTGAATTTTTGGTTTGGTTTGAAATTTAAAACTGAATCCTATTCAGTCTGAATTCGGTTCGAAGGTTTGTAAATATATTCGGGCTCAATATATATTTTTCTAATTGCCATTCTATTTTATTGTTCTATTAAATGTTAACAGTTTAATATCCGATTAGATCACATGATCTGAAAATTAATATTTAAGATTACGTGATAGACTAAATAGACGTGATGTCAAGCAAGCGTAGCTATCGCAAAAAAAGCAAACCCGAAAACGGGCAAGAAAATGAAAATACAGATACTTCCCATATAGTGGAAAACGACAATGTCTCAGATGAAGTGAGGTAAAGTAAAATATACTTTAAAGTACAAAGCAATGACCAATAATATTCTCGATTTATAGTGAAACAATAGAAGAACTTATCGAACTTCGCAAATTTCGTCGAAGACATCAGGGTATAGATGCAGAAAAGCTATTAAAGGGTGAAGCCAGATCTAAAAAGAAAAAGAAGGATGAAGATCCGTGGAAATTGACTACTGGTGGAATCGTTGACTTAGAAGCTGTAAGAGAGGCTGAGAAGTAAGTTTTATTTTTTAATTAGGCCACTCCAAATTGATTCTTTGTTTAACATAACATTAAATGGTTCATAAGAGTGGGGGG